AGAGAGAGCACACTTATTGTCAAGGGCTTGGGTTCGAGCCCTAGTGCTGTCCTTTTTCCTAACTTTTTCATGATTTTCTTTTTTATCACAAGCCAGCGCGCCTGGACTTAAGGTCATTGGGCTTGGCTTTTTTACTCAGCAATACCCCATGTCTACTAAACAACAACGCAACCCAACCCTTTTATTTATTTATTTTGTTTCTGATTACAAAAACAAGCTTTTGGGCTGAATGCAAAACTGTTTTTTTCTTCTTTTAAACCACCTTTCTCACTTTCGTACCTCCTGACTTAATTTTATAATTTTCTTTTCTTTTCATTTCTTTATTTTTATTATTATTAATATTTTTATTATTATTATTTTTACTAATCAAAAATATCAAAAAATATTTTATTTATTTATTTAGGTATTTAGCATATTTTTATTTTACTTCTTTTAGACAAAAAAGACCAAAAATATTCCTTTAACAAATTTCTTATTTTTTTAAATTAAATTAATATTAGACTTATGTTTATGTTAGTTTCTTTTTCTAATTAAAGTTAACTAAGAGATTAAGAGTTGTAATTAATCAATTTCTTTCTTTACATTGGTTTAAATACTTTAAAATCTTAAACCCTAAAAAATTTATTTTCTTAGTTAAATTTATTTGCTCATAATAATTAAGGTTTAGCTTTGTCAAATTAATTCAAATCAACTAACTATTCTCTTCTTAGCTTAATTAGATTAAAAACTTTTTCTTAACAAAAACTCAACCAAAACAATCTCATTTTCTTTTCACATTACCTTTACATTTTTTTAACTCACTTGTTCATATTCAATATGGTTGTAATAGTAAATTAGAGTTTATTTGTTTTCATCTCACCATATATATATATATTTGTACCCCCAATCCCAAATAATGTAATAGCGTAGAATTTTACATTTTCGCGATTTATCGCTTTTAAATAGAAATGCTAGTAATTAGAATTTGTATGACAAAATAAAATCAACAAGTAAAAAACTTAATTCAAATATAAAAAACATGAAATCAAACACTTTTCACACTCGCACCTCTAAGATTAATCTACACTTGTTACTTTAAAATAAAATGATTATTTAATTAAAATATATTTTTGAATTATATTTTTTAAAAATGATTATTTTATGATTTATTTTAAAATCAAATTAGTTTAATAGTTTAACTGGTTTTTAACTTAAATTTAGTAAAATAAATTATTTATACTATATGGTTCAGTCATTTAATTGATTATAGTTTTTTTTTTTTGGTTTAATTGCAATTTAGTTTGGAGATATGATTTTGTTAACCATGTTATTGCATTCTCCTAATCGGAAGCATGTTGGTATGAATACAAATCTTTTTTCATATTTGTGTTAAAAGTCTGAAGATGCTTCTCGTTTTTTATGCATTTGTTGAACTTTTATACTAGTAGATTCATGTCTTCACCAGTTTTCGAATCTTTAGGTTCTTCTACTTTAAGGGCATGAAATTTCTTTTTCTTGTCATCTTTTTTATTTTTAGTCTGTCTTTTCAGTTCAATCTCTTTTCTTGTAATTTATCAAATAAATTATCCAAATTCATATAATACGATTCTTTAAATTCAGAAATTACAGTGGCTAAGATTGTCAACTGCAGTTTAGACATTTAAGAATTTTTTTTAATTAAAGCTTTATTTAAATTAGTTTTGCCTAGAGTTCTAAAGGAATTAGTAAGGAGAACAAAACCTTTTTCCATGGCTGGATTTTCTTTAGGTTTTATTTTAAACAACTCATATTCATGGGTTCTTGTGTTAATTCTAACCATTTTTTTTTCCGTTGTACCTTCACGGATCATTTGAAGGGTTTCTAACATTTCTTTTGAAGTATTAGAGAGAGAAACATAAAAAAAAAACTCATATATACCAAGAGCAGTAATGATAGTTTTAGCTTTTCAACAATACTATATCTTTTCTTTATTCTCTTTAGTCTATATTTCTCTGGGTTTGTTTTCCATAACATCATCAACATGATGTGTGGGAACAAATGGACTATTTTTAATAGTGGCCAAGATGTCATAATTCATATCCTCTATAAAGATTTTTATCTCCTCTCTCAATTAAAGAATGTATTTTTGTTTAGTAAAACATTTGAAATCATCCTTCCTCTTAAGTCGATTAGTCTAATAACAAGAGTTGTATTCCAATGCTATATGTTGAACAAGTGACTTCGAACATAAGAAATTAGGAGGGGAGAGGTTGAATTGTGTTATATGATTTTTCAAAAAAAAAATTAAAAAAAAAATATTGGTTCTAACTTGATCAATTATAAAAATAGAGATGAAATAGGGATTTAAGCGCAAAAGACAAGATATATGAAAATATAAGAGAATAGTTTAAAAAGTGCACACCATGATTTATAGTAGTTCTACTTTAAATTACACCGTCTACTCCAGTCTTCAAGAGGTTCTTCTTAAGAGTTTCACTATCAACTTGAGTATTTGTCACAAGATCACAACCTCCTCACACCAAACTTTTACTCAAATTTATCTTGTAACCTTTATATAAATTACAATTTCATAAGAGAACAAGACTCTTGATTTATAATTACTACATGATCTAATCAAACAACAAATTACACGGTACTTTAAGCCTTCATTCTCTCTTCCTCTCTTTCTCTCTTTTCCTCTCTTACACACAACACTAAAGTAATAAAAAATATATAAAATAGTTTGTAAGAAGAAAGTAAGTGAAAATGAAAAGTATACAATGACATTTTTATGATAAGAAGAGAACACATTGTATCCTTTATATAGGAGAGTAAAATTGGCCAAAAAGGAAAATAATCTATGGGATAAGACAACTGTCTAATTGATTAAACATAACAAATTAGAAAAGAAATGAGTTAGATTCAAAGCCTAATAGAATAATAAGGTTTCTAATCGATTTTGATTAGGTAGCAAGATCACTTCATAATCGATTAGATGTTGGCGATTTTGTATCACCAATGTATTTTAGTAGTAATGTGATTTCTAAAGGCCGATGCAATTATGCGTTAAGTTCGGAGACGAGTTAGGGAAGTGCGGAGTGCACGCTCGTCGAGCCAATGCATAATTGAATACGAATAATTGAAACGGGGTTCCAAGGGGCGAAGCCCCTGGCGGGGTGCGGGGCAGCGCCCTGTTGGGGTTCCAAGGGGCGAAGCCCCTGGTGGGGTGCGGGGCAGCGTCCCGCGGGGTCCAAGGGGCGGAAGCTGTTCCCCAACGGACATAACTGTTTCCCAACTGACATATTCGTTTCGAACAAATGTGTCTCTTCGTTTTCAATTATTGTTCTCCTATATATGGAGTCGTTCGGCCTCGGTCTCGAATACAGGAAAAACGCATCCTTCTCTCTATAATTACAATTCGTTTTCTTTTGTCGGAAACAGAATTTCTTCGAGAATTATCCCCACAAAGATTTCGTGAACCCAGACAAGAATAGGGTCGAAATACTTTGTTCGGAAAGTGTACGAACACGATTCATCGAAGTTATCCAGGATTATCACACCCTAAATTTCTAACATTAGATACATGTTTAATTGATTAGAGAACGAGTTTTCGCTTTCTTAATTAGGTAGAAAGCTTTCTAATTGATTAACAAATGACATGAAATAATTTTTAACAAGGTTTTGAAAGAGTTGAATTTTGTAAAGTTATTGAGTATATGCATGCATTACTTTAGTATCTCGAGAGCTACTCAAATTTAATTATATATGATTGATCTTAATACGCTAAGACACCAAATCGTACAATCTTTCAAAGACTTCAATTCTTTTGATGTTGAAGTTTAGTATTTAACTTTCTTTGGTTTAAACAACAAAACCTTCTTAGTTTTTTTTTATTTATAAACTTCAATCTTTTTCTTCTTGATGATGCTCATGACTAATTTACTGTACTCATTTATCATTATCAAAATTATAACTGAATTTACAAATGCATATACAACAAATATAACCGGAAGATTGTCAACTCTATATATTATTATGTTGCATAAAGAATTTAGTACGAATTAAATCTTCATCAACATCTTAATTCAAATTTTATTTATTAGCCAAAATGCTCTTAAATATATATCCTTTCGCACAAACATTTTCGACCTTTTAAAATATCTTTAACTAAATCAAATACTTGAACTCTATTGTGAAGGAGTTTCCACTAAAAATGAATCATCCGGATACTACTCGAGTTCGATTCTTAATAGAAATAAGACTTGATCAGTGAATTATTTCTCTGAATTACGAAATCAAATTAATCGATTTACTATGTAGATCATAATTAGTTGACAAAAGAAAAACTTACCTATGACAAATAAATATACACAATCAATTAATTATAAAATATAGATATTTAAAAGCATTTTTTTTTATCATAACAAAATTAAAAGTCACACATATAAATATTTTTAATGCGCCAATAATAACGATCTATAAACATAAACTTTATATTTAAGTGAATTGATTTTGCTATCTAAAAAAAAATAACGCACTTCTTGTTCAATTTGTTGTTCTTTATATATAATTTTCATTATATTATTGTAATATATGAAAGTATATAATTTAATGATTGATTAATTTTAAAAAGAAAAAAAAATCTAAATAGTAATTTTTTGGATAAAAGTAAAAATCTAAAACACATTGTTGATAAAAATTTGAGCTTCCTAATAATATTCATATGATTGTTGGATATGTAATCTAATGTGTCAAGACAATATGGTTCATTAACCCTGAATAACCGTATAACTTAAATTAGAAATCAATTAATGATCACCCTTTTTTTCCTCATCAGAAATTCATGGTAAAACATACCAAAACATAGTTGTTAGAAAAAAACAATGTTCCAATCAAATCCTATGTGTCATCTCCAACTACATCTCTTTTAATGTAATTTATGATCTCTCATTCTCTCCACCCCCAACTTCCCACCAGAAACTCTACCCTTTTATGGGAAAAGTTGGGAAAAGGGGGACACACAAAAAACCATCACCACCGCAATGAGTCTTAATTGCCTTACCTGTGGCCATATTCTTAAAAGAGATAACTCCGATAGAGAGCATAATTACCCAGAAATCGATAAATCTTATACTAAAAAAGCAAGACTATACGTTGATAGAAGTTGGTCAGGGAATATAGCTCCACCACCGCAACGCGAAGGTGGCAGCGGTGTTGTGGCGGATAATATTAAACCGGAATTCCGTCGTGCCAATAGTGCTGGAAATGCTGGGCCAAGATTGTTAAGGAGCAGTGGAATGAGAAGAGATTGGCGTTTGGAAGAGTTGATTGGACAACAAGAAAATGGAGTTAGATGTTAATTGATAATACAATGCTATTCATGCAAAATTTGAACGTCAAATTATAATATATGGTATTGTACATATTGATTTTAAAAAGAAACATAATTAACAATTATAATATATTATTCTTTGGAAGTTAACAATATTAGAGAAGATTTCAACTTAATTTTCTATTGTGTTTTTCTTGCATTGTGTATATATATTGGGTTTTTTTTTTTGGTGGCAAAGTGTGTGAGGTGTAAAGAGTAGGAGGTGAGATTGTTTAGTATAAAAGCAAATGGTGTTTCAAGTGCTATCAAATTATGGAAAACACTCTTTTTTTGCACCATAGTAATTAAAATCCCTTTTTATTTTGTTTGATGCTCTGATTTATTCTTTTGTCAAAGAAATTTGTTTTCTTCTGTTTTGTGGTTATTGATATTTATTTAATTTAACTTAATCGTCGAAACACTAGTAAGATAAACGAGGAAAAATTACATAATTGTCAGGTATGGGATCACTTAAATATATATATTTTAAAGATAAATAGAAGAAGATAATATACAAATGAGAAACACAATGAATTTTAAGTTGTAAACACTATGCCAGAAATAACTTACGAAAGCGCTTTTTTTGGGCTTTAAAAGCGTTTAAAAGCGCTCTCGTAGGTGGCGCTGCTAAAGGTTTTAGCAGCGCTTTTTGTTCAGAAAAAAGCGCTCTCGTAGGCCTACCTATGAAAGCGCTTTTTGGTAAAAAGCGCTTTCATAGGTAGGCCTACGAGAGCGCTTTTTTCTGAAAAAGCATTTTCATAGGTGTATTCAGAATGCGTGTCAGGCAATCTAAAGTAGGCCTATAAGAGCGCTTTTTGTTCAGAAAAAAGCGCTTTCATAGGTTTTCTACTGAAAAATCTAAAATTTAAAAAAAATTTAAACCTGCATTTTTTTGCAGCAAACCTGTAATTCTTAAATCGGTATTTTACAATCTAATCTAGAAATACCAATATATATTAGTTTTAATCCAAATACCAAATGTAATTCAAATACCAAATATTATATATATATACAAATACCATTATAATCAATTCATATCCAAAATATATATACACCATGGTAATTCAATATTAACATGTTTTTAAACGTAACAAAATACACCCTAAGAAATCAGCTATATAACACTAAGTAAATCAATCCTAATCTACATATATATCCAAGGTCCTGATCCTGCAATATGAACATAATAACACGGTCAGTGTTGTATACACAAAACAATATATTCATAATTAACCAATTTTCACACAACAATGTATTCGTACCTTATTATAAGATTCTTAGCTCAATAAAATATTGGCACAACTCCTCTTTGAGTTCTTCCAATTGACGTGGCGAGTAATATGGACAATTGTATTGATCAAAATACTACATTACAAAACAAAATATATGCATGATTTAGTTTAATGTAATAAATTATATGCAAAATCCGATAAGTAATAAAACAAAATATAAATCCATACCGTGATTGGAATCTCGATTTCATTCATTTGAATGATTTCTTTGATAAACTTCAAAACGAAGTATCCGTAATCTATGCCGTTTTGTTGTTGAGGGCACTACATAGAAAAACAAATAAGATTATACACATCTATTGATTTATCAAGTAGCATAAATATTATAAGCAAAATTGTTGAAATTTATATACCTGTACTTTGATCCAATTAATGTTGTTTGATTTAGACCGTGGTACTCGTGCTTCCCTTTGACATCGGAATACTTGTATTGAACTGATGACAAAATTAAAATATTTATTTAGAACAATGACATTGAAATAATTAAATATATAAACACAAACGAATATTTAGAATAATGTCACTTACGTATCAATCAATAACTTCATTTCCGGATAATTTGTCCAATCACCGTCAACCGAATTCAGGTAATAGACCACTTCTTTTATGGGATTGATTGCAAGCAACAACCAGTGACATCTATAAATTAAAGCAACAATTTAGAAGAGAATTTTAATGTAAAAAATACAAATATTAAAAGGAGCTTAGAATGAAAATCTAACCCTGTATTATAAGGCAAAAGATACAAGCTCTCTGTACTGGCAGTTGTCATGAATCTTTCGACCAAGTGTTCTCTTACTGAATCAGGTTCCCTAGAAATTGTTGCTCCGCTGACACGGGAGGAAGACACGAAACGGAATCTATTTGACAATTGATTCCCGCGCATCAATTTTTCAAATAACATCCTTAAATAAAAACATAATTAATATTAGACTATTTCAATTAAATGTTTAAAAAAAATGTTCAACCAATTAAATAATATATTGATCGGGTTACCGGATGTACGAGTGCATCACACTGATGCCTAACTCTCGATGATGAAAGATTTGTTCCATGTCCTCTAATCCAATTGTTTCGGTACATGGAAAACCAAAGACAATTTCATCCACATCGATTTGACGAATTCCATCATTCATCAAATCTGATGTGCCAACTAGTGTCTCCAGACACTATCGATACCTAGGCACAAATTTACGGACAGGAACCTTCTTCTTAGGTGGAACCCTACTAACTTTCTGGCTCACCTGCTATGACTGATGTTGAGAAGGTACCTTAAAAATCATATAGAATTATGTAAGATACAAAGTTATGCAGTTTTTTATTCCGATCATAAATGAAACACTTTAAAAGTACCTTTCTTTGCGATGCAATAGACTCGCCGCGCTGAAAAATCCCTTTATCCTTAGATGCGGGTTTTGTAGGAGTCTAAAATTACCATGTATAAAATTCAGGTCAAAACTGTCAGTTGAATACTTAAAGATTCATAATGGTTTTCAACATACCTGATCATCTATGCAGATGAGGTCTGATGGCCATGCCACAAAAGATCCTACTGCATCTCGCAGCAATGTGGTCTCCGCAACAATGTCAGGTACCGGTAGCAATGCATTCATATCTAAAACAACATCAACCGATACCTTCATGTGGCCATCCGAGAGCGGTCTATGGTGAATTAAATCTCCCGAGGTGTTGTGCACTTTTCCCTTGCCAACTACCCGATAAGTCGGAGACGCTAGATACAGCTGACAACATGAAATGCCCTAAACCAATAATAACCGTTAGACTTCCTTTAATGTTGACAATAATAACCGTTATAATTATACTTTCTCTAAATATAATGGATTATCATCTTAATTACCTCGGGAAAATTTTGTTGACAGTTGATACTAGCCTTGTCACTAGTTTCTTTCAACTGTGAACTGCTCCTTTCTGCCATATATCTCTCTTTGTCCCTCTGCAGTTCACGGACTTGTGCTTGTAAATCCTGCAATGTTTGCATCAATTTTGCATTGCTAGGATTTCTTTTTCTTGGATTGTTATACAGAGAGTTAGGAGTCACACCATGGCCTTTACCCTTCACTCGTCCCGGATACTCAGCAACACATAGTGCTCGACTGAGTACGCTCCTGATATTCCGGTCATCACCCGTGGATACCGATTGCGATATAGTCTCCTGTAATTCATTTAAATATCGATAATTAAAGACACAACATTAATTATATATTAATTAAAGACATAATGGTATACTTACACACTCATCATAAATATGTTGCAGATCGGGGTTAACAACTTGATCTCTGCCAACACGAGCTTCCTTCCACAACACATGTGTAGGTAGTGATGTTTCGTCACTCTGCGTCTCCTCCAACTACGCATTGTTACAAATAATAAAATCATCAATACACATTGTTATAAATTAATAATACACATTGAGATAATTAATAAGATCGTAGATTAGCTTGGCATTTAAGTGATTGTTTTCAAAGAGATTCTGGAAGGCCTTCCTTTCCTCACTGTGACTCAAAAACACCGATTGCTAAATGTCTGAGAAACTTAGATGATCTTGCTCATAAGGTTTATCTCAAATTCTACCTCGAAACCAACTCCATTTCCTATCAACTACAGTTAAGTGAAGTTTTTTTTTTCTTTCAATTTCTAATATTATTCAATAATTCAATTTTTTTAAAGAGTGATTCTTTGATGTTTTTGCCTCAACTTGAACTAAGTTTGTATATTTGTACAGGACACATGCATTTAAACATGAAACTGAGAGACTTGTAACTGAATTGAAAAATTCTGCTCAATATGTGGAGGACAAGTTAGATAGCATTGAAGAGAAATCAGATTGTCTATTACAAAACTCAAAACAAATTTCTGAATCTCTCGAATCAGTTAATAGTCACACACAGTTAGTAGCACAAACTTTCAAGAATTTCTTGACAAGACAATGGCCTGAGTTTGGGTGGAAGTGGAAGCAACATAAGCATGAGTTCAAGGTAGAGAAATTTATGTTTCAACGTTTTTTTCTACAAGAAAGACTGATGCAAAGCCTAGTAAGGATTGGTTAATTCAATGCAAAAACCATTATTTTCATGACATGCACAGATATTTATACTGAAAATACAGTCAAAATCAATGGTTTCCACTATGAAACCAAACTTAATGGTGAACAGTGACTGTAATTCCAAGACTCTGAAAATTGTGTTTTTTTTTCTGCTACAGTCAGACTCTTAAATTCGTTTCATATGTCATTTTCAAAGTTAACCTGTGAAGAGTTATTTACTGGTATCATGTTAGATGGGTTGGTAAAGTGACACTCGGTGAATATAACATGAGAATTTCAATTGGGAATAGCTATAACAGAACATGGGCACAATCTTCAACTCAGAATTCAATTGCATGCTGCATTGTTGCATATCATGATGCAAAAGATGAGTAGTAAAGTCTATTAAGACATTCCAAGAGTGTCTATGAGCAAACTACGGAAATGAGAAGAAGAAGAAACTAAACGGTCAAATAACGGAACAGATAATGGAAGAAGAAGAAACTTACCAAGATGGACAAGAACGCAGTGAATGGCGGCGACGACTAAAGAAGAGGGAAGAACGACGGCGACGAAGGAAGACGAAGCAGCAGTGAACGGCAGCAGGAATGAGACGAACGGTAACAGGAAGAAGAAATGAAGAAGACGAAGAAA